AATTTTGTTTTTTTTTTTTTTTTTTTTTTTTTTTGAGGGGTTAATTTTCATCTACAGTTTGCATAGAAAAATGTTTTTTGCAAGAGAAAAAATACGCTTGTTCAAGTCACAAACAGTTATCGCCAAATCAGTAGGCCTATAGCAGAAATGTAAAACTTGCTCTATTCAGCCACTCCAGACTGAGGCTGAAGAGTTTTTTTTAAGGCCCCATTCACACTGCGCGATTCGTCACGCGATATCGTGCAAATGCTTGCATTGAGCAAGCGAGAAACGTGGCAAAATCCGCTCCAAAAAGGGTCCTGCTGTAGCGGCACACGACCCGCGACAGCAAAACCCTTTGCCCCATTGCAAAGCATTGAAGAGCGATATAGCGCACGGTAAATAGCCGCGGTATCGCGGGAATTACCGCGCGATCGCTCAATGTGAACGGGGCCTTACTGTTTTGTAAATGCTCACTGAGCACAATGCTTTTTGGGCTAACTTTTACAATGGAAGATTTAAAAAAAAAAAAGCCGGTCAGTAATAAGCCCAGGGGCTCATTCACTCCTCTGCTCTTCAGAGTGGTTTGTTATTTAAAGCAGCACTCCAGGGAAAATTATTATAGGCGAGTATAGTTTTGTGCTTTTCCTCCTTAGACCAAAACAAGCAGTTAACCCTTGCAGTGTGGGGGTAGGTTCATTGCAAGGGTTAACTGCTCGTTTTGGTCTAGGGAGGAAAAGCACAAAACTATACTCACCTGATCCTCGGAGATGGCCGGCTCTGACATCGCTCCATCCAGCCTCTCTCTCCTCTGCTGCAGCAGTGGAATGTCCCTCACCAGCCTCATGTTCTATACAATGTGTGTAGAACATGGTGATTTATGGCACCTTATACCGCTGCAGCGGAGGGGAGAGAGGCTTCAGGGACCATTCAAAGTGCAAGCCAGCTCATAGTTTTGGGTGAATATAGCTTTTTTATTTTCCTCCCTAGACACAAACAAGCACTTAACCCTCGCAGTGCTGGGGTAGCCCCACTGCAAGGGTTAATAATAATTTGCCCTGGAGTTCTTCCTTAAAAAGTCCTGCCCAATTCGTATTTAAGAAATGCTGCTTTTTTAAAGTGTTTAAGGACTTTGATAGAATCGGAAGCTGAAATGTTGCATGAACTAGGTATACTTGTGCTAGATAAACAAGAGAATTCATGCCCGCCGACTTTTTTTCTTCTTTTGTACTTGCGGTAACAGGTGTAAAAGGATGTCCTATGGCAGCAGTAATATGGGGGCAGATGCTTTCAGAGAAAAACTTTAGGACTTGTTCACACTTTGTAATACGTAAACATGCGATAGTGTGCGTTTTTGCCACCTTTGCCTTTTGTCAGCCCGTTCAATCAATAAAATGCTGCACGCGTGCTGCAGCATTTCGCGAGCCTCCCGCTTTATTTTCTCATGCGTTTGCTTGAGCCAAGGAGCATGCTTTCACACAATGCCGAAGTGTGAACGGGGACTGAAGCTAAACTTTGGGCAGATATAAAAAGCACATATCAATACAACTCTGTATTTACTAATGAATCCTTTTTGTTTTATATTGTAATTGCAAGCAGTGTAAGTACCCGAACTTAACCTGGAATCAGTCGCTTGTCTCTCTCTCTCTCTCTCTCCCCCCTGTACAGCAGAACTCAGTTTGGGAGAGGTAAAAGCAGCCCAGGGAGAGCCAGTCAGATGTGCTGCAGTGATCATGTGCTAGCAAGGCATATGGGAGTTGGCAGAGATTAGCTCTTTGGTCTGCTG